CTCTCCCCAAGAACTTTGTCCAGGGTTTCCATGTACGACTCGACAAGCTTTGTGGTATCCTTGCCCTCCGCGAGGCTGTTGTACGCGGCGTTCCAGAGTCTCTGGGACGTGGGAAGGACAGGAGTCGGTTGCTCTGATATGGACTCGATCGCTTTTGGCTCGGCTCGGGATTTGATGGACGGTGCCAGAGGTGGAGCTTGCGACGTAGCGGCTGGTTGGTGATGCCCTGTTGCTCTTGCATCTATATTGGATCGATGCACGCCATCATGATCGCTGGGCGCGGGGGTAGGAGTACCCGGCTCTGTCGTGGTGCCGGATGGTGTTGTTGGTCCGTCTGTTGAACATGTCAGTCTTGAGAAGGCAATCCGGTGCTCGTCTCAAACGTACCCGTGGACTGTGTGGCAGATGGAGCGGGCGAGGTTGCACCATGTCGACTAAAAGGCTTCTTTAACAACCTCTTCAGCGAACCCATTTTTTTTTTTTTTTTTTCACGCATATAGCTTCGGCGAGGATAGTTATGCAGGAGAGAAAAGGCTATCACAACAGCACCGATATTGTGAAGTTGGCGGCTGCATTTCGCGCGGTTGCCGCGGAGCGGAGCTGAAAGATGCAGCTGTCTCTCTTGGCGGACGCCCAGACAGAGCTATGGCGCTGCGAGCACTCGGCGCAGGTTGATACAATTGGTGAAATCTGCATTAGCCAGCTCTCAGGTTGCTGCGCTACGGCTAATTCCAATTGGCTGTTGCGATGAAGCCGTCGCGAGGGGCGTGACGTGGCATTTGGAGACAAACTCTCGATTGCTGACACCGGTTGCCGAGATGCAGAGTCGGCTCGCGACGTCGGTCGCCGTGTTTTGCAGGGCTACCACTTTGGCTCGTCGGCATGGGCCATGTTCTGTAACATCGCTGTCTTGGTGGGCGGTATGACAAGGGCAACTTCGCTTTCGTCCCTGCAGATCACTCTGATCCGGTCTGGGTTCCTAGCTTCTTTCACCACTGCAGCGCAGCGCCAATTTCCCTGGTTCTGGTGTGTCTGGATCTCTGCCTCGATTGTCTTCCTTATGTCTGCCACTTGGACTTTCCCTTTCTCTCTTTCCTCCACTCTAGATGTATCAACCGTGCAGAACAGGGTATCCGTCAAGGTCGTTGGTGCTGTGTTCGACAAGGAGATAGTTCGCAGTCCACTCGGTTGGCTTGCTGGCGGCGTGCGGGCAACCTCTGCATATGATGCCCTTGGACTCGTCTGAGTTGTATGAGGAAAAGCTGCGTTGCGTGCAAGGGCGTCAATCACTTCGCGGGCTTGTCTCAGCTCCTCAGAGAGCTGTTGGATCGTGTATTGCTGCTTGCTGACCACGTCGCGTAGTTCGCAGATCATGTTTCGTTGCTCGCAGATCATGTTTCGTTGCTCGCAGATCATATTTCGTTGCTCGGTAGATATCTCGCGCGTCTCGTTTTGCTGTTCATTAATTGCTTCTAGGAAGGGTCTGGAGCGCTGTTTTCCCCGCTTCAGCCTGGCCGTTGGTTCCGATCCCGCTTCCCAATGCCCGTGTTCCTTTCGATGCGGTACTCCGCGTAACGGTATTTGTGGTTCTTTTCGACGTGGTGGCCGCATCCTCAAGAGATTGCATCGTTTCGCGGGCTTTCGCGCTCGGTTTTGGGGCGCGACTCGGTCGTTTCGGCGGGATTGGGCTGTCGGCCACCACGATTACTGCCTCAGGTTGCGCCGACGCCGCCATCTCGCGGTCACGTTCCTATACTTAGCTCGCTATCACCCTTGTATTTAACTTGTCTTGGGAAACCCAAATTGGCGATCTGCCTCGGTGAATACATTGCCGACGTGGATCCTTGTGACGGCAGTCACGTGGATTGAGATCACGTGACCAGGTGCCGTCAGTACGCGCCACGCGCCACGGGATGGTGAAGGTCCTGGCGGGGCAGGGCCGCAAGCCCCACCCCCAC